TTCCCCACCCTGACCCCTGCTGAGTACTGTCTGTCAATCCTGGTGGGCAGATTCAAAAGATGCCCCCCACCCCTGGGGGGCATTGGGCCATCCAGGTGTCCTTTGTCCCTTAAGACCTCCTCTCCTGTACCCGGTTGGTGGTCCCCGTATTCCTTCCCTCCCCTCTCCCCCGGTAAAAGGGTGAGCAGACCACAGGATCGGCAGTTCTGTTGCTAGATTCAGAGGCCTGCAGGCCAGAATAAAAGCTCTGGATTGAAACCCTCCGTCAGAACCGACTCCTTCCTTCACCATTGCCTTCAGGCTTCTCTGGCACAGGGAAACCTGAGTGGTGGACCTGTGTGGGAGGAAGCGCCATCCCGCCTCCACCGGAGCTCCAGCATGCCCGGACTTGTCTCTACGTGCCCAGCTGCGACTGACAGCTAGCCAAAGGTGTCTCTGGGGTGAAACACCACAGTTGCTGCTATTTGGTTCAGCAGCAGGGGCCAAACACACTAAGGCACATCTCATCTACAATATTGGTAAATGCCAATAGTAAGAAAGGTTTCCACTGTGCCTTTCCAGATGTCCAGGCCGTTGCTTACGAAGAGCCGAAGCACTGGTGCTCCATCGTCTACTACGAGCTGAACAACCGCGTGGGGGAGGCGTTCCACGCGTCCTCCACCAGCATCCTGGTGGATGGCTTCACTGACCCCTCCAACAACAAGAACAGGTTCTGCCTGGGGCTGCTCTCCAACGTCAACCGCAACTCCACCATTGAGAACACGAGGCGGCACATCGGCAAAGGTGAGTTTGGGATCTGGCCATCCATTCTGGGTGGGGGTGGTGTTTCCTGAGACATGACAACCTGGGCCACTTCCCTCAAGAGTAAACTGCTCTTCCCTAGCATGTGGGAGAAGTGCTTGTGTTGGTAAACATGTAATTTTCTGGCCTAGTCTTATAAACAAAGTATTGTTCCTACCTGGTTTGTAATTACAGGAAGCTTTTACCCTTAATCAATTTTTAGTTGCCTGAAGGCTATCGAAATGTAAATTAGAGGTTAAGGCAGTTTGTCTAATGAAATGTCTTGATTTATCTTGATTATTGCTGTATATGAAAATCCAAATTGTGGTTCTTGGCACCAAATGTTTTAGCTAGCCTTAGTTCTAATGTAAGTTAACTATCCTAGCATGTATTTTGGGAGATAACCTGCTAAAACAGTTTATTCCAAATGCATTTTTCACAGGCTGGTGATTCTTTCAGTGGGAATTTTGTGCTTCCCTTCTGTGTCTGTGACAGTCTTGCAAAAGAGAAACTCTTCACCTTTATTCCTCTTTTCTGAGAACTCACCTGTAATGCAAGTGGCAGGCAAAGCTGATGTTGCCCCCTGCAGTGGGGCTATTCCTGCAAGGCACATTTTTTAGGTATTTACAGTTTTAGTAAACTGTACATTTTCTGAGACAATAGAGGGTTCAGCATGCCCAAGCAGTGGGGTAGACGTGCCAGTTCATGAAGAGGAGGAAAGAGCTGAAGCTGAAGAGAACTGTCAGATCCTCAAGTCTGAGCCCGCAGTTTGGAGAGTTTTTCTCTTCATGAGAACTTGTGCAGCTCTCAGTAGTGCACACCTGTGTTGTGCCACTCAAGTGTTAATACTTCTTCCTTCTTTTCCTCCCCATCCATCTTCCCAAGTATCAGGATATTTATTTAACACCTCATTCATTTTTCCTGTTAGGAGTAACCCAGCTGCAGGCAGAGTTCTGCTGAAGCACTTAACTGCGTGTGTACCAAAGCAGAGCGTGGGAGAGACAAGCATGCAGTTCAATAAGTAAATGTGTACAAGTAATGGTGAAGTAGAACTGTTAGTCTTTGAGAAAGGAGGAGTAAATCCCAAACTTGAAGACATAGCCGTAAATGTTTTTGCAGATCAGGTGGGAGTATGTATCTACCCTCACAGTCAGTGGCAAAATCTTACATGACAGAGCACAATCAAGGCTTTCCTACTGGACTGCAGTCGAGTTTTCTAATTCTCCATGTTTACCTCTGTGATTTGTGACATTGTGGGAGGTGAAAGGTTTAAGTAGCAAATAAACCATTTTTAAGCACAGAAGGTAAATTTTCTTGCTTTCTCAAAACCTTTAGAATTGACTCCTACTAACACAAAGGTTCTCTGTATGTTACTTCTTTGGGGCTTTGCTGCTGTGGATGACAGGTGAAGGAGCAGGCACTAGATGGGGAGAGGACTGAAAAATTGGTGTGTACCCTCATTTGGCAGATAGGTCTGAGGAATACAAAGGCCTTTTTTTTCCCACCTAGCTTTCTGGAATTAAAGCTAGCTGACAAATCTCAGGCTACCCAAACTAGCATTCAAGGCTTTTCCAGAGAATCGAGCTCGAGGCTGCTTCAGTATCTACAAATGATGCAGCAGGTTTCTGCTCTCTCTGCTTGCATTCCCAGTTACTGCTTCACTTAAATATAATGAGAAAAAGTTTGAGTGGTCAGATTGTCCAATGGAAGGCATCAAAACTACTGTGCTTGCTAGTTTGGTGTTGTTGAATATACAACATGTAGATTCCCTATACATACATACATACATGCATACATACTCTTCTTTCAGATTGCCTGCTGATGAAAGAGAAAAGCAAGAATGAAGACAGATGATACTCTGATATGTAATTAAGGTTTATCTCTTTGAACAGAAGCCTATCTCTGTGGAGGCAGAGCATGAAAACAGACACAGAGTGTGAATTTGCCACCTTCTCCTCGCAGGTGTCCATCTCTACTACGTTGGAGGGGAGGTGTACGCTGAATGTTTGAGCGACAGCAGCATCTTTGTGCAAAGTCGGAACTGCAACTACCACCACGGCTTCCATCCCACCACGGTCTGCAAAATCCCCAGTGGCTGCAGTCTGAAGATTTTCAATAACCAAGAGTTTGCTCAGCTCCTGGCTCAGTCCGTGAACCATGGCTTTGAGACAGTGTATGAGCTTACTAAGATGTGCACTCTCCGGATGAGTTTTGTAAAGGTATGTGGGCAATTTGCTTGACATTATTTTGTAAGGAACATAAATTATTTTTTCTTAATGCAGTGATTTTGAATGGTTCAGTAAGTCCCTTCATTGGCCTGTTAATGGCTGTTGAATTTTAAGGATGGAATTCCTCGTTAAGTCTGAGACAGATCTTAGTGAAATGAAGTATTTGTGGATAGAAAATCATCTGAGCCACATACTTAGAAAGCTTGAGGTGACTTACAGAAGATATTTCCTCTCTTAAGTCTTCTAAATCTTGACCAGCAACTCCCAAATTAGGAGTGCAGTCATTATTTAGAATAATATGCATACCCTTCTATTCTAGGAAGGCATGCAAGGTCAGGATTTGTGATGTGGCTGCCGTGTGAGTGTTAGCACAGGAACTGATATGAAAGGGCTGGTCCTTAAATGAAAGTAATCAAATGAAGATGGTGATATGCTGCAGTCCTCTCCATGATGGGAGGATGAGAACTTTCAGATATGTTAAGACCGTGGTTCCTAAAATGGAATAGGCTGTTTACAGCCCTGCATCCTATGGAGTTGTAGGGCAGTATTGCCTAAACAGTCACACAGGGCCTCTTGTGTATTGCCAGTTGCACTGCACAGTGTTCAGAGCTGCTGCCAGCTGTGCTGAGAGCTGGGAAATCCCTTCATTAGGGATTAATACAGAGCAGAGCAAACTGTACCTGCAGATGTCATAGTGTTCTCTTCAGACCTGCCCCAAAAGTGGTTCACTTAGAAAACAATTTTGAATGCTTTTAAATATCTCTTCATATTTTTGGCAATCACTGTAACAGAATCAGATATAAGCTGAAACAAAAACTGTCTTAAGTAGACAAACAGCCTGATGGGGGATGACCATGCCCTCTTTCTCCAAGGAGGAATGCTTCTGACTTACTGCTCAGTTTATCATCTCCATCCTGAGAATGATACTTTGGTTCTTGTCAGACAGATGCCTCACCCCCATTTCCATATCAGTCATATCACTTCATCTTTGAATTTTTTGATCTTTTTGGCAGCATTTCCACACAATTTGTTCTATTTTCAGTCTTGGCAGAGAAGATTTGAATATCCCCCTCTGCTGAGGCTTTATAGGGATCTCAAGGCAGCTGGCAGTGATGTATGGGGAAATTTTGCACTGCTACAGGTTATGTCTTTAAAGACTTCCATTCCAAGAGATCTGAAATGATACTTTTCCACATTTATGATTTTTTAGCTTCTGATTTGTTTGTTGAAATGTGATAATAGTTGGTGGGTGCTATGGGTGCTGTGCCACCCTGCTGATAATGAATGTTGAAAGCTATTTTGGTAAGAAGTACACTTTTTATGTATTTAGTATTATAATATAAGGTGATTTGTTTTTTCTTTCCCCACTTATGATTCTGTTTCCAGGGTTGGGGAGCTGAATATCATCGCCAGGATGTAACGAGCACTCCATGCTGGATAGAGATACATCTCCATGGTCCCCTTCAGTGGCTGGATAAAGTACTTACTCAGATGGGCTCTCCTCATAATCCTATTTCTTCAGTGTCTTAAAAGGTCCCAAGCTCCTGCGTTTTGGAAACAGTTGAGCCTTGCATGTACTTGAAAGATGTATGAGTCAGACACACATTTTTATTTTTTTTCCCCCCTCAGCTGGCAACAGCTGAAAAAGAGCCATGAAAACACTTGACTTCTGTGACCAACTGCTGGGTTCAGAAAACAAAGATAAATAAACCCCTTTGACATACTGTTGGTATAAAGAATTTTAGTTTACATTGTAATGTACTGTTGTGGAGTTGATTTACAGGGCTTAGTACAAGAGGGACAACAGAGCCAAAGCCAAACTCAGTGTGCTGGACAGAGTTCCCGAAGGATTTTTCTGCAGCCGTCACTCTTAAGGTTCTCCTTCCTTACATTCAGCACTCACTGGTTTCCTCCACGTCCTCTGGAGCTAAGAGTGGATGTTGGCCAAGTCTGCTTTTTGCAGCCTCTCTTCAGTACTTCTTGGAAACATTACACTGATGGTTGCTGTTCTCTTTAAAAGTAAAAGCAAGCATAAGGTTTAATCTCAATAACTGTGTGCTGTCTCTGAAATTGTGTCCTGACCATACTGCTGTAAGAATGTTAGGTATGTTCTTTTGCTAAATGTATGTATGGTGTATTTGAAAGTTTAGAAATTAATTAGATTTAGACCATAAAGGAATTAGGAATATTTGAATGGGGGGAGGTGGGAGGGGAAAATGACAGCTGAAATGTAGAATATATTGTAAACATAGCGTGTTAGTTTAAACTGAGGTCTGAATTTTGTTGTGCATTTTGTTTTCATAGTGGCTTCATCTTGTTAGTTCTGACTGTTTGCCTCTTCCTTTTCCCCCAAAGCAACTGTGCAGCTTCTTTTACCCATGAAGAGGACAAAATTATTAATTACTGCAGTTTGAAGGCTGTAGCTCTATGTATTTCAAGACAAATTTGTACAGAGTGCTCTTTAACTACTGAGCAGTTTTATACACTTTATGTAACAAAAGTAGGCTTTTATTTTGTGAGAGAATCTTGTTTTGCCAAACCTAGTAACTGTTAATTGTCGGGAGGACTTCAGTATCCCTGTGGGGGTCTATTTCAAACGTTAAAAATATATATATTTTTAATTTTTTTTTTGCTTGGTTTATTTTCTTCTCTTTGCTCTTTTATATTCATGTAAGCTGTAGTACTTTCAAGTACTTTTATTCCAAAACTAGTGGGTCCTCTTTACTGGAAATTTTGAATAAAACCTGTTGTTACTGCTTTCATTTGATTAAAACCTTGTCTTGTCCACTTCTTAGCAGACTCTTAACAAACCAGATAAAGGTGTGGTCTTGGAGGAGGAACAACTAGAAATGAAGATGTGCTGAGCTTAGACGTAATGATTAGTACAGGTTAGTAGCCCTGCTAAACTCAGGAGCAAGGGGAGGCTGAGCAGCAGAGCTCAGTGTGTGTTCAGCCAGGCACAGAATTAATCTATCTCTGTAATGAGTAATAGCCCTTTTTGGAGTATGAATCAATATCACCTTTTTATCTTCTTTTTTCCTTTTTTTTTTTGTTTGTTTGTGTAGGGTTTTTTTTTTGTTTGTTTGTTTTGGGTTTTTTGTTTTGTTTTGGTGGGGTTTTTTGGTGGTTTATTTATTTTATTTTTTTTTTTGTTATAGTTAATTCCACAGCTTGGCTCAGTACAAACATTTTTTTAAATTAAAAAATTTAAAATTCTCCCCTTGCTCAGGGGCAAAAAATCCATAATGTACAAGTTACCTATTGAGAAGAACCTGCTACTTTTACATTCCAAGAACAGGTTTTTTGGTTTCTTTTCAGGTTCAGTTTGACATATCTTTTTCATAAAGAAGTGGTCATAGCACAAATGTAAGTCTTAAATAAAATTTAGACATGACCAAAAACTGGAAGAATGCTGTTTGCTGCTCAGGCACTGTCTTTGTTTTTGATATCTTCAGCCCCTGCTACATAAACTCCCAGCTGTTCCTAACAGTTTCATTGCTTTTTATGGAATGCAGCTGTGAGGTAGTGACTTCTTTTTTAATTAGTGCTGTAACCATCCATTATGCAAGTCTTAAGGAGTGTTTCTACTTGGATGTTTTCCTATTTGGATGATCCTGTGCAAGTTTTGATAAACTTTGAAAAAGCGTTGGAGTAAGAAAAGACAGTTTTATGTTGTGACTGCTTTGAGTGTTGCTGTCTTTTATGTTTTGGGCTGTAATGCCTCTCTGTTTTTCCTAAATAGGGATTAAAATTAGAAAATAGTAGCTCTGCAGTGCCTCAGAAACTTTCAGTGGTAATCTGAATTAAGTGGGATGTGCAGGATCCCAGTTTTTCTGAGTTCCTTCTGGTGTTAATTTTTCTATAATACTGGTGAAGTGCTGGGTACATAATATTTTCATTATCTGTTATCCAGCTTTTTGCTTGTGATGTGAAGATACTAGGTGCAAGGGAAACGTGTACCTTCATATGAGGGCACGGAGTATCTCAGCTGCACTTCATTAAATAAGATGAGTGGATTGGAGTAGCACCTGAGACTCTCAGGTGCTTTTGTTTGGGTTAATTTTTTTTTCACAGTACTGGTATGGGGCTGTTTTGAATTTGTGCTGGAGACAGTGTTGATAACACAAGGATATTTTCCTTACTGCTGAGCAGGGCTTGCACAGATTCAAGGCTTTTTCTGCCTCCCTCCCCAACAGTGAAGAGACTGGGGGTGCACAAGGAGCTGGGAGGGGACACAGCTGGGACAGCCAGCCCCAGCTGACCCAACGTGTATCCTGCAACATATGGAGTCATGCTCAGCATGTAAAATGGGAAGAAGGAAGGAAGGAAGGGTGTTTGGAGTGATGGAGTTGACTTCCCAAGTTACAGTTATGTGTGATGGTGCCCGGATTTCCTGGAGATGGCTGAACACCAGCCTGCCCCTGGGAAGTGGTGAATGAATTCCTTGTTTTGCTTTGCTTGTGTGTGCAACTTTTGCTTTGCTTATTAAATTGTGTTTATCTCAACCCACAAGTGTTCTTACTTTCACTCTTTCAATTTTCTCCTCCATCCCACCTGGGGTGAGTGAAGGAGCAGCCACTGAGTGGTGATTAGTTACCAGCTGGGGTTAAACCACAACAGACTAACAGCCAGAAACAGAGGAGGTAGGACAGAAGTTACCTGAGAGGAAGCAACTGCTGTCTTCAGACTGTTGTGAAAATTTTTGGAACATTTTGAAGAAGTATTCCTTCTGATTTGCCCTGCTTTGGATAGTTGGAGTCAGAAAGCTTTTAAAGGCAAATGACAAGAACAAAAGGAAAAGAATTTCTTGCTGACCTCTTACAGAGACTGTTGAACTAAAAACATGGACAGAGTCTATGGTGTCAGCTCTGTAACCAGGTAAGTTCCTGTTGCTTATTTGGTTTTATTTCCTCATAGTTTCCTCCATTTAATCTCCTGAACAAGAGTTAAACAGAGAAGATGCTACTTAAAAGCCAAGACAAGTCTCTGTTAGGAGAAACTGAAAAGACAGGGATATCTGTATTGAGGAAAAGCAGTATATATGGTCACAAATAATTCCATGGAGCTGAATGTGTTTTGAAATCTCTGCTTTTGCTTTTAAGTGCTGGAAATCAAATAATTCTCCCTGAGTGGAGATGACTTTTTAATCATTTAGGAGGATCGGCTGAACACTTAAAAGAGTTGTTGAAGACTAAGAGAGGTAGCCATGCTTACCTGTATGGGTTTAGGAAGGTATGGAAAAAATAATTGGTGTTTTATCATATCCTGTATCATAATCATTGGCCTGATCTTTTAATGCTTGCTAACCTGGTGTTGCCGTCTACTTTGTTAAAGTAATTTGCTGCTAAATCACTCCTTTTGCTACTGTAACTATTGTCCTTTATTGTCTTAAGACAACTATAGTTGTCTTTTTTAGCCTCTAAACAAAACACGTGTGAGTATCATTATTTCAAGACATTAATCTGTGTAGAGGTGTCTGAAATTGATGTGGACCTTTCTTGGTGTGCCTGTCTCCTTGATTTTTCATTTGCCTTGTCCACTCTAAACCTTCAATGGACACCTTGGAAGTTAGCTGTGTTTTGGTGCTCTCTTTAGTAATTGCTGCTGGTTTGTTCTGTGAAGCACACTGTAGCCTCTTAGTGTACTCTTGAGATTTGTGATTCATGGCCATGAACTGGCAGTCACCTTTTTCTGGACGCTTGCCTAAATATACAACATAACTCTACCATCACCAGCAGTGGTGGAGCAGTACGTGTTTTACACGCATCATCTCACAGTTCATTTTCTTAAATACATTTGTGATTCTGTGCAGGAGGGAAGGGAAAATGGCTTGTATTTTCCTCTGGCCCTCTCTGTCCTTGACTTAACTCAGTGAAGAGAGACACCCTTGCCATGTTGTCCTTCAGGGGATGTTCTCTCTTCTCTATTCCTTAAGCTCCCCTTAGTGCCTCCCATATTCTGTATGACTTGCCTTGTTTTTTGAACTCTGCAAATTGCTTTTTGTCATTCCCAGGAGGTGCTCTCCCTGTGCCACTGTGGGTCACGTGTCTGTGTGTCTTCATGTGCTGGGAGCTGCTGAGGCAGAGGGCTCTGGTTCCCCACTTCTGCTCAGTTTAATTGAGGTATCTGACAGATGGCTCCTGTTTCATTCACCCCACCTGCAGTCCCTTCAGCAGGGAGGGCTGTGTCCCCTGGGGTGTGAGGTGAGCTGTTTTTCATGAGGCAGGTGTGATGGAGAGGCAGCCTCCTGATCAAAGCCTGTTGCAAACACAGAAGTGACTCCAGTAAGGCTGACAATGTAAGCATCCACTGGGCTTGATGTGGTTACAGAGCTGAGGGGGTCTGTTGCAGGCAATGGACAAGATGGGTACAGTTTTTATGCAGGTCTGATGAATGCCTTGCAGTTAAAAATGATCCTCACTGTATGTTGTTAATTGATCTTGTGTGACCAAAGTAATCAAAAGTAATGTCAAACAAACTCCCAAATATTACAAACAGTCCAAAAGTCAGGAATTTGATTCAATCATCTTTAAGGAATGTTAAGATTTTTTTATTCAGATGTGTGCAGATTGGTAATTTTTTCTTAAGAATTGGCTTGTGATTTCCCCTTTCAATCTTGACACTAAGGCATAAATTGAGAAATCTGTATGTTCTCTTCATGATCCTGCCAGCTCATCTGAGACTCTAAATCTCTAAAGCTCAGAGGAGGCTGCTGTAGTTTAATGTTGAAGAAATAAGCACTGTCACTTTCTCCAGATTGTAGACAGGAGTTAAGGTATCTCATAGCAGTGATAAAGTCCTGCCACTTACAGTTGTGTACTACAGTAAATAGAAAATGAGCTATAATTGTATTACAGCCTTTCTTTGCTCAGAGTTGGGTTTATGTGGAGTGGTCACTTGCTTAGATGTGCTGGGAAGAGCACAGTTTGCCTTTGTAAAACATATTCTAATTTTCCTGTTGCAGCTTTCCCCAGTGTCCCTATAAGGTGTAAAAACGTTGTTTTCTATAAAGAAAAATGGTATGCATAACTTTGCCTTCCCCTTTCTCCTAATAGAACTTTGAACTTCTCGGTCTGCTGTTCCTTTAGATTACTGAGCTGAGCTTAGAACAAGCAGGAGAATGAGACTGGATGTGTGTAGTGCTGCAGTAACACTTGACTGTTTTCTTGGATCACTTGATTCTTGGCAGGAGAGCAGGGGTCTGTCTCATCTCTGAGCCCTTCACTTCTGCCTTCTGTTGATACTCGAGGGATTGGTAATCCTGTGTGTTTTCAGATCAACATGTGAAGACTGAAAGATGGCTGCTATCCCATCAGATATTTCTACAAGTTTGTGGACCAGTCTCCTCAAGTCAAAATCACCATAGGCCATAGTGTTGGCAACAGCACTATTTAGAAACTGGATCCAAGCATGGCTTCATTTTGAACGTGATTCAGCCGATGGTTTGACTACAAACACTTTTCAAACCTCTCAAACACAGCTTGATCCCTCTGTATGCTGGATTTGGGCCATGCTGTTTTCTCAAGCAGCACAGAAAGAAGCTACCTTGATCTGCATGCACTGGAGACTCAAAATTCTAGGAATTGGCTTTTTATCTTGTGCTAAGAGAGCAGTTCTGTAAATACTCTTTCATGGGGTAGCTTTTAATTGCAGTGTGGGGTTTCTTTGTACCCCTACTGCTAATGATTGATATGGCTCTAATTCAGAATACATTCTGGGCACTGGGGCCATTCCATTTTCTGACCCGCTGTGTTGCTCTTGGTCTTTCAGGAATCATGTCATTGCCTCAGGTGTCCCTGTGATTTCACCAGGTCACAGGAGCAAGTTTGAACAGATAAAGTGGTAGATCTTCAGTTGAATTTGATCTTACACTGATGGAAAGCAGCATACAATCAAAATATTAAACCACTAAACTCTAGAAATTGACCATCTTCAAAAAGATTCCTAGGGAAGCACAGGGATGTCTTAATGTTGGCAAGGGCACATACAGCAGTTTGAGCTGTCACCTGAAGGTAGGAACCTCGAGTTTTGGGACCCTGATTTGACAGTGTGTACTTTGAGTAAGGGGCCATCCATTCCCTCACAAGATCTGCTGAAATCATACCAGCCCTGGATTAATCCATATTGTGAGTGATCAACAGAAGCGATAGAAACAGATCTGTGTGTGTACAGGGGCAAGGAATGTTCACAGCCAGGTTTTCTTACCATCACCTGTGAAAGTACAGGAAATGCCCATTTCTGTGCCAGCAGCAGTGGGTGACAGAGGTGTGGCTGTGCCATTACATGGAGCTATCCCAAGCATGGTCAGAGCTGGAACTTGACAGCTTAATGAGCTCAGAGGCTGGTCTTGCATGTGAGCATTTTGTTGGATGAAATGGGGGGAAAGGATCACCTGACCACACTATGAGTGTTCTTGTTTATTTGGTGCTTATTTCACGTTGTTTCAGAGTTGTCTGAGTCCTCTAGCACTATTGTTCCTTGGATAGTAAGGTGAATAAAAGGATATGCAGAATATGTGGGCTTTCCTCTTTTTTTGTCCATGTTCTGGTCACCCCTTGTGTTCTGTAAAACATTACTGTGTCTCCTTGTGCTGGGAATTACCATGGCCTGACACAGGTGGGGTATGCAAGAAACCCAGTCAAAATCCATTCTCTCTGCAACTGTATCTAAAATGCCTGAAAAATGTGACATTGCCCATCACATAAACAGGAAACAGCCCTTGTAAGGGACTGAGCATAGCTGAAAGCCTAACCCACATAACATCTCCATCTGGGGGACCTTTCAGTGCCACACAAGTTTGGAAAACATGGTTGTGACTGGCTTCCACATGTGGGATGAATGGTGGGTACCAGATGTTGCCTTACGCATTCAACTCCTTTTCTCTAAATTCCATCTGAGACACAAATGTTCTATCTACAGCACTTGTGGGTGAAAGCCTGCATGTGTGAAGGTTTTGGTGTTTGCACAGGAACAAGGCTGGACCTGCATCACTGGAAGCAGGCCTGAGGTTTGTCTGGTCATCTGAAGTTTCTGATGACAGTAAGCAGTAAAAACCTGAGAGGTAGCAAATTAAATATGCAGTTGTCAGAGGTGGAATGCAGTGTACTTCTAAGTGCTGGCTAGTGTGTCTGTGAAAGCTGGCCTCATTTCCTCCAGAAGAACACCATGGAATGTAACAATAGACTGATGATATCCTCTCGGGGCACATATAATAATTAGGCACTCTTAATTTCCATATTTTCAAATTTATGGGCTATGGATTATATCCTGTGTCTGGTTTTAGTTTTCCAAATGCAGAAACAGAAGGCTCCTTGTGAAGTTCCTACCTCTCAGTACTTGTAGCCTGCTCCCTCTTTCCACAACCTTTCTTCCTCCATGCTTACAGAAGTTTGGAAAGCACAGTAAAAGAGCTGGTTTTTGAAAAAAGTAGAGTATGAGCTCATGTGATACCATGAGAAGATGCCTAGTGTACACAAACAGTTGTATGGGGGGTATTTTAATTTCTGTTGTTTTGGGCAGGGTACCAGATGTTGCCTTACGCATTCAACTCCTTTTCTCTAAATTCCATCTGAGACACAAATGTTCTATCTACAGCACTTGTGGGTGAAAGCCTGCACGTGTGAAGGTTTTGGTGTTTGCACAGGAACAAGGCTGGACCTGCACCACTGGAAGCAGGGCTGAGGTTTGTCTGGTCATCTGAAGTTTCTGATGACAGTAAGCAGTAAAAACCTGAGAGGTAGCAAATTAAATATGCAGTTGTCAGAGGTGGAATGCAGTGTACTTCTAAGTGCTGGCTAGTGTGTCTGTGAAAGCTGGCCTCATTTCCTCCAGAAGAACACCATGGAATGTAACAATAGACTGATGATATCCTCTCGGGG